AGCCCGGTCACACTGCAGGACGGGGAAAAAGTGGCCAGAGCCCTCAGGCCTTACCCTAGCACAGGGGCTCAGGAGGAGATGGTGGGAGTGGAGAGACCAAGCTCTCCAGTCATACTGCTGTGTCGAGACTCTCCTCCTCTTTCTCCTCAGCACAAATGATCATTCAGAAAAGAGAAGCAGAAAGTGAATTGGAAAGGGCCTAAAGCTTTATCAAATGTATGAAAATATCGACAACAAAAATAACAGAAGACAGGCACGGCCTTCAGTAAGTTACACTATAAGTGCTGTACAGAAGAAAACAGGCACTTTATTGCTTCAGAAAGAGATAAATTCATCAATTTCCTGAGGGCATCCTTGAGCTCCTGGTTCCTCAGGCTGTAGATGAGGGGGTTCACTGCTGGAGGCACCACCGAGTACAGAACTGACACCACTAGGTCCAGGGATGGGGAGGAGATGGAGGGGGGCTTCAGGTTGGCGAAGAAACCAGTGCTGAGAAAGAGGGAGACCACGGTCAGGTGAGGGAGGCACGTGGAGAAGGCTTTGTGCCGTCCCTGCTGCGAGGGGATCCTCATCACGGCCCTGAAGATCCCAACATAGGACACAACAATAAAAACAAAACAGCCAAAAGCTAAACAGGCACTTACAACTGTCAGTCCAGCTTTCCTGAGGTAGTTTGCTTCTGAGCAGGAGAGCTTCAGGATATGGGGAACTTCACAGAAGAACTGTCCGACAGCATTACCCTGGCAGAGGGGCACTGAAAATGCATTGGCCGTGTGCAGGAGAGCATTGAGAAAGCCACTGGCCCAGGCCGCTGCTGCCATGTGGGCACAAGCTCTGGTGCCCAGGAGGGTCCCGTAGTGCAGGGGTTGGCAGATGGCCACGTAGCGGTCATAGGCCATGATGGTGAGAACATAATACTCTGCTGAGATCAAGAAGAGAAAAACAAAAAGCTGGGCCACACACCCTTTGTAGGAGATGCAACTGTTGTCCCAGAGGGAATTGGCCATGGCTTTGGGAACAGTGGTGGAGATGGATCCCAGGTCGAGAACAGAGAGATTGAGGAGGAAGAAGTACATGGGGGTGTGGAGGTGGTGGTGCCAGGCGATGGTGGTGATGATGAGGCCGTTGCCCAGGAGGGCAGCCAGGTAGATGCCCAGGAAGAGCCAGAAGTGCAAGAGCTGCAGCTGCCGCGTGTCTGCGAATGGCAGGAGCAGGAACTGACTGATGGAGCTGACGTTGGACATGTGTGATTTCTTGTCATGGGGGCTCTGTCCAAAGAGAGGAAGCACAAGTTAAAGTTAATACATGCTCCTCTGAGTAAAACAAATCCATTTTTAGATAGAAATCTCTGCCAGTAAAAATGCATTTCCTTTCTCTTTTTTTTTTTTGGCTGTCTGCGTGTGCTCTGAGGTTTCATCTTTGCTCTGTGCAGTGGGTAGGTGGAGCTGGTTTGTGACAGCTCTGACATCCACAGGGGACATCAGGTGTAATCCGCCTTCAACAGTAAACTTCAGTTTCTCCACTCATGACTCTCGCTAGTCTGGGGTGCAGAGAAGAGACTTCATGTGTTCTAAAAGCCATTCAGTTTGTGTCTATTTTCCCCCCATCATTTTCCTTGACTGATCTTTTTAGGAGTAGAAATCCTCATTTTGATATCTGAATCTGCAAGGACAGGCAAAAGGGGTCCGCTCTCTGTGACTTAAAGCAGACCCAGTAGAGCTGCAGTGTCCATCAGTCTCACTCCCATCTGCCCTGCTCTTCCCGATGACTTCTCACAAACATCACCCTTTAAAATAAGACAAAGATCTGTACTGTGAAGACATCTGAGGAGCACTGTGAAGTCTATCCCAGCCCTGAGGGGCAGCAGTGATGGGCAAAGCAGAAAATGACTCCACATGAAGCGAAGCCGAGGTCTGTGAGAGCAGAGTGCCAACCCCAGGGAAAGGCTCAGCATTCCCGGGGAACCTGGGGTGAGCTGTGCCTTTCTGGGGGCAGTTCCAAGCGCAGCAGGACAGACCAAGCCAACTCTCAGAACTCGTGCAAATGGGATGTTCTCCAGAGAGAGTCAGCTCCT